CAGGGGCAGTATAGTGGTGGATTGATTCTTTAGTGTGGTGGGATAGGGGCAGTGTTTCAGGGGATTGGGGCATTAGTGAGGAGATGGGAACAGTATTGTAGGTGATTGGGGCTTAATGAGGGGTAGACAAAGTATTGTGGGAAACTGGGGCTATGGTGGGGGGTGGATAGGAACAGTATTGTGGTGGACTGGGGCTATGGTGGGGGGATAGGAACAGTCTTGAGGGCAGGGGCAGTATTGTGTGGGGGTTACTGCAGTATTGATGTAGGTTAGGGGAACATTGTGTGGGGATATGGGCAGTGTTGGGGTCGGGGCAGTATGGTGGGGGCTAAGGACAGTATTTGGGCTCAGGGGCAGTATTGTGGTGGGATAGGGACAATATTATGTGTCAGGGGCAGTATTGTGTGGATATTGAGACAATATTATGGGGGTTATGGACAGTATTGGGGGTCAGGGGCAGTATTTTGTATGCTTAGGGAGTACTGGAGGTCAGAAACAGTATTGTGGTATCTTTCACCCCATGTCAACCCCTTCCATCCATATCCCCCCCCCCCCCATGTAAACCTCCCCTTCCAACCATATGATGGATAAAAGTAAAGGACAGATGTGCCAGCATAAGGAACACATCCTTATTCTCCACATAAATCATTTGGGACGGTTTTAAAAATAAAACACACTAAAATAAGATGAAGAAGATCAATGTGTCTTATTTTTTTTCTATTGCAGACAATGGTCTCAAACAAAACATTAAAAAACTGTTTGTGGACACTTGTAGCATCTCCAGATTCAAAACGTTAGTATTTACATGATGACAAACACACAGGACTATTCACTAAATTGAGCATTGTCCTGAATTTCAAAATTAGTATTGTTTCCAGTTCTGTTAACATGAAATACGCTCTGGAATCGCTATAAATCACACATAAGTCAATAAGTGATAGTTAAGCAGCAGCAAAAAAAAAAATTAGAACAATTAGCTAAGAGAGTGATCTTATGCCCATGTCCCAAAGTTTGCAAGGCTTTTCTCAATAAGTTTTGATGATGGCCTCTTTTACACCATAGTCACTGGTAAAATCCACATTTACCATAAAATAAGTACAAAATCATAACATATGTACACATTATTTAGAGACTGTGCATGGGAAGGAGTTGGTAGTTATTCCATACTTTAGAGAGCTGCATGTCAGACACGAGTCTAGCAGGACTGTTACTAGAAGTAATGGTGTAACCGTGTAAGCATGCAGAAGCCAAACACAGGGAGATGGACACAGGTATTCAGGAAGTAAGAGGCCATTATTCACATTACCAATCGGATCTCAGATGAACTCCTGTTCCAAAAGATCTGAGAGAGCAACACATGGTGTACATTCCTTATATAGCACTATAACTCCTCCCATTAATAGCTACACCCACATATACCTTTAACCAATCAATGAGCAGAATATAGACCTGTACATCTAGTCAAACCACATGGCCCATCCAAGACAAAGGAAATAAGTGCAATTTCAGTTCCTGCATTCCTGCACATGCTCAGTACATTGATGACAGTATCCTAGCTACGTGTAGCTAACTAACTGACACAACATACACATATGCCACATGGAAATCTTGGCCTACTAAATTTACATTCACCGAAATTCCACCACATTCCCCCCTTTGATGCCTCTGATACAAATTATTCCAGATGCATCACCAATCACAGTTTTACCTACATCTCTCAAGTAGCCATTGAACCAGAGTAGACCTTGTAAGCATCTTAAAAACTCCTTCAACATTCCTCATCCTGAATATATTCTCTTTGGGCTAGGGGATCATATCTATAGACAGCCATTACATGAGCCACTGTCTTTCTCTCTATAGTACTCTCTATAATACTACGTAGGGACCTTACCACTAATGGAATTAGACAGGGCAAAAAAAAGACATAAGAATATGATAAACACTACTCCTCCTACTAACGCCTTAATTCCTCCAAGCTGCTCATACCAGCTTCCAAACCAACTATTAGGATTATACCCATTCCAGACCTGAGTCGGTACATGCGCACGTTTCACCATGTGACTAGTAAGTTCAGCCACTGCCTGACCTTCATCATCTATATGCAAACAACAGTTGCTAAGGTTAAACTTTCCGCATACACCTCCTTCCATTGCTAATAGATAATCTAAAGCTAATCTATTTTGATAGATGGCTGATCTCATCCTGGTATTTTGCTTAGCTAGAAGATTAAGAGCTTGAGCTGTCTCATTAGTAATAATCTCAACCACTGCCTGTAGTCTAAAAATGCGGTTGAGCATATATATCGGAGTTCTATATCCATAAGTGCCATCTTCTGCCCAAGTAGCAGGTCCATAATAATTAATAATACGTTGAGGGGGCCACTCATCATCTTCCCAACTACCTATATTCAAGGATGCTCTCTTCCTTTTATGATTTACATTGTAAACCTTAACTCCCAAGGTCTCTCCTGTCTCAATCGGCAACAAGAAGAAGAATGGCTTGAGCATAACTAATACACATGCACCTTCCCAATCTTGTGGTAACTCCGAATAAGCTTTCCTACCACAGATCCAGTCTAAATTTGCTGGGGCTTTCCAACTAGATGTAGCAGATAAGTCAAACCATACCTCCTTTAAATGAGTGTAATTGGCAAACGGATTAGTAGGCTCCGAGACATTTGAAGCTGACCACCAAGTAATATTTTTAGTATTAACATTATAGGCTTTTTGTCCCAAGCAAGTTAGCTCAACTACAGACGTGTTATACATTGTCCATTTCCTGGCTATACAAACATGACCCATAATGGAGGTTTTTAACCGCCATTCCGATTTACTTCTAGTACTTACTTGATGATCAGACTGAAAAGGTATCTGTTGTTCATATGTCTCAGAGCCAGGGTACCATATTTCCTTTGCCTCCCATGGCCACTGGTCTCCCATATTAGTACCTCCACACACATAGCAATTAGTTACATTAAGACTACCCGCAATACTCTCAGCCAAATCAATAAATAGGTTCTTAACATTATGGGGAATTTTATCCTCAACACTCATCTCCTCATAAAAGGAATGGGAAACCTGATGAGTTTGAGTTGCCACTGTCTCAGTTTCAAGACCTACATATATTATTATTCCTGAATCTACTCCTGTGCCATGTATTTGGAACCCATAAATATTTACAAATTTGTCAATAAAATGCTGGGGATTAGAGATGGTCATATGGACCGGATTACATTCCATGGATTTACAGTATGTTGTGGTAGGCAACCTTTGGATAATCATATCTTGATCCACTGTTTTTCCCCAGGTTGCCCACCCTACACAAGACCAATAGGGACAAAAATTATAATCTCTATTTGGGCAATCAGGATCAGTAGATCTTTTACTGGGACATAAGTTAAAAACCCATAAGTTCGTTCTCATTTAAGATTACCACATACATTCCAAGGTTTTCTACTACCAGAAATCGCCTTACATGCATCAAATAGCAGAACACCCGTAGAATGTATGGTATTTATCACAGTCCTATTTATCAAAGTTCCCTGGGAATTACTATTCCTAATTACGAACCAAATTGTACGGGGTTGGAATTGGGGATCGAAACATTTAGACTCTCCTGATATTGGCTTGCACACACTATAATCAATATCCAAATATCTACATTTAGATACAGATCCCTTACATTCATACTGTGAGTGCTAGATGAGAGTTTGGGATATTTGGTTACCTGTTTTAGTAGTCTTAATGCAACTATCGCAATTCGGTATGTCTGTACTCCTACCTTCCTGAAAAATCATAAAAATACTAAGACACATAATAAAACACATTATTCCTAAAATCCTCATTTTTCTTCGTGGCCTCTCAGCTTCCCGATTGTGAGGGCTGCAAGGATGTTGTTCTTCTGATCCTCACTTTCCTTCACAGAGATCCCTTCGAGACACTCTGGCTATGACACGTAGGCAGGTGGTCAGGCTTTATTATGGCCGTCAAAACACCTACTTTGCTGATCTCTATAGTTACTCTAGATGTTCCAATATCTCCTCGTCACTCCGACTGAGTTGCACGCTTCAACCGGATCTTGCAAGGATTCTCAGGATCTGGGATAGCTTGCCAAGAGTCTGATGCTGGTTTAACCCTAGAATGATGAATCCACGGAGTCACCTCTGCCACCTTTACAGCTGTTGGGGTAGATAAGAGAACATAAGGAACCCTCCACTTTGGACCTAATGGAACAATATTCCATTCTTTTATCCACACTTGATCTCCTGGTTGATAGGAATGAACAGGTGGATATATGTTCACAGGTAACCTATCTTGCACCCATTTCTGCACCTCCTCCATAGTTTTACCCAACTCTACAACCTGCTGCCGAGTAATTCCTTCACCCAACTGATTTAAGTCCCTCCTTAGATTACTTAGTATTTGAGGTGGATGCCCATACATAATTTCAAAGGGAGACAAACCCATCCTTCTGGTAGGCTTACTACGTATTCGCAAAAGAGCTATTGGCAAAAGGACATTCCACTTGAGCTGAGTTTCCTGACACATTTTAGCCAACTGGGTTTTTATTGTTCTGTTCATCCTTTCCACCTTTCCAGAACTCTGAGGTCTATAGGCTGTATGAAGTTTCCACTTGATACCAAGCACATGAGTTAGTTGTTGCAAACACTGATGAATAAAGGCTGGGCCATTATCTGATCCTATAGAACACGGAAGTCCATATCTGGGTATAACTTCTCGCAACAGAAATCGTACAACTTCTTCTGCCTTTTCTGTACGAGTTGGACAAGCTTCTACCCAACCTGACTAGGTACACACAGCTACCAACAAATAACGATATCCCCCAGATTTAGGCATCACAGTGTAATCTATTTGCAAATCTGACATTGGG